TATTTTGTTATGATTTCTTGGTTTAATGCAAAAAAGTAATGACTTTTTGGAACAATTAGCTTCTTAAAAGTTCAGCTTGTGGCCAAGTATTACTGGCTACAAAAGACAGAAATTTAGAGCTATGTGACTGATTCAAAGAGGTACATATGTCAAATATCATCCAAACACATGCCAGACTTGGAAGAACCTCTCTAAAATGTAGCACTTGCAGGAAATTCATCAAAATATCACTCAGGCTGTCTTCATTTCATGACAAAAAGATTCACAGAAACACATTTGAGCAACTTAATCCTCACTGGTAACATAACAGATACTTTACAATGAAAAATGCATAGTGGGAGGTGGGGCCTTGATTGCAATCTCTACTATGATCCCTGCTAAGCCAATCTGCACCACCAAAGATGAACAAGTTTGATAGTATAACAATGCTAAATCTATTTGCTGACAAAACTCTTGGGATAGAAGTGATATCTTTTATTAGATGAACTAAAACCAACCAAGCTAAAACCAATATTCCTGAAATCTATTTGCCCTTCTCCAAAGATAAAGGGCAATAATCCACACCTTCAAGTCTCACTGCAATAATACATTATTTAAATTCCCAAGAGATGACCTGGAATGAAGCAGAAAGCAAATGCCAAGGTCTAGGCACAAATGTGTTCTGCCTACTCCAGCCATTTTTGGTAAGATCAACTCCTGAAATGTTTACCACCATTACTAATAATAGAAGTCCACTGCAGACTGAAATAACATCTGGAAGTTTTGGTGAATAGCAACAAGCCCCCATTATCTTAGCCCTGGACATGATACCATTTGGATGATTTGAAGAAAAGCATGGATCTCATTCTACCTTAAAATAAAATGGATACCATAAATTTTAAGATGAACAGCATTTCTCATTGAAAAAGAACCTTACATTTTGTCAAAAACAGAGCTTGCTTACCTGAAAACTAGGAAGTTCAAAAAAAAGTGTGTACACGTTACAGGAGTGCTTCTTGGATAGGATAAGTCAGCTTCTACTGGGAATAAGGAAGGAGATGAGATGGTAAAAATGTTTTATTGTTGTTCAGCTGAACTCCAGTGGGTCAATGCAAGCCCTACAATAAAGCCTTGGACTGGCCTTCTTGATCTGATTACCTGGAAGGAAAAGAAGGAACTTTTAAGTTTCCCAACAAATACAATGTGACATTGTAAATCAGACAACTGAACACATTAAAATAAATATTTACAATATTATAATAACGTTTTAGCTTAGCTTTCTCTTTAAACAACCCAACCTGTTGAACATTCAAAGTGGCAATTTTAAGAGGAGAAGTTATAAGGGTTGATAATGGCAGGTCAAGTTTTGATTTTTAAAATCCAGGTACATGTCTCAAACATATATCAATTTAAGTATTTATCTACATACAGAATAAAAATATAGGATGGAAGGAACAGACCCAACTATGCGTACAACATGAAAACTTCCCATTCCAGATATCTCAACACAGACCTAGAAAAGACAGCTTTAAAAGGCAAGAGGGTAGTTTAATAGGCGTATTTCCTTAAATTGATTAATTTACAAGTTTTCAGAGGGTGACTCTTGGGTCAACAAACCAGAACTGATTTGAACCAAGAGTCTAACTTATATACCATTATCTCTACCTTACACATTGTTTTAAAGAAGACTCATACCATCATCCTACATACCAATTTTTGCTTTCCCTCCCTTCATACACCTTTCATCCATCCAGTTTGCAACATTAACGTACTACTAGATGGGCCAACTTCAGTTTTATAGTATATGTATGTTGGGGGCCAATATTTCTAGGGGTGGCTGCCTAAAAGGGAAGAATCTTATTAAGCCTGATTTTCAAGAGAACGATAAATACTCAGGAGCTCTCATTTTCAAAAACTAAATTGTAAACAATAGATTGTTAAATCCTGGACTTTAGCCTCCTATCCCCTAATTAATAACTAGGTATATGCACAGCAGAATTTGGTTCCTTGTGATAGTTTTTTAATGAAGAGAAGTAAAGGTGGAATACTACCCAACAGTTGAGTAGAAAGGAAAACCCTACCATAAGCAAGTCACCATGTTATAATACAACTCAGACAACATTCTAGAATTGAAAGTTTTCAAGTATCTTTCCCCTTCAGAAGACAGAGAAAGGCCTGACAATGGCTTAACAATAGATTACTAAACATATTAAATAACTGATTCTGTACAGTAAAAATACTGAACTGCACTATTTTAATAAGTTCATGGTCACTTAAGAATAAACTAAGAGGCTCTCCCCATTCTGGATTCTTCCATTGATAATACCAGGAGATAAGTTTAAAAATGATTTCTATGCTTGGCAGGATTATAATACTTACTTACAGTTATTGTATAAAAAGAACACTAACTTTCCAGGAACACTATTTATACCTATGTGATTTTTAAAAACTGAAAACCGCATTTCTCAACTCATGCCATATATCGCTGTCAAAGGAGCTTAAAGAAACCATTAACACTCTCTTTGGCCCTCACTGCCAACACAGTCATCCCAGTAATGCTTCCAACTGTGCCAAGACAAAGGGCAAAAAGCCCAAAGGTCACTTACAAACGTATGTGGAAAGATATAATGGCATTCAGCAGGCTAACTAGTCACTGAGCTTCACCTTGACTTAATATCTTAAGCCAACTGAATTAAATTTATTTCTCAGCTCTAATGTTTACTTTCTTAAGAAACACTCAGAAAAGAAAAATTGGTGAGCCTTTTTTGCAATCCTTAAATATATTTATGCTTGATTAAAAAAAGCCAGAAGAGTAGCATTACACAGTACTCAATGTTTCCTTTCCTTACATTCAAGCACCTCCTTTCATCAAAGCAAAATTGGTAAGTACCTAATAAGCTAGAACAATTCCTCATTCCAGTCCTCTACAAAAGAGGACCCCATCTCAGGCAATTATAGATAGGACATCTGAATACTATTCAGCTTCTTCAAGCACTTCTACTTCCTCTGCTGAAAATGCCTCAGATGCATCTACTTCTAAACCATTAATAAAGTCCATTTGCCCACCAAATCCTTGTATGTTCATGTTTACGGGAAGCAGAAGAAAAAAAGTGCAACAGAAGTGCCAATTCCCAAATGTTACTAGGTCAACAGTGGGTTACACAAGTCATTTTCTGGTCATGGGAGCCATATAGTTCCCTCAGACTTTCTTCCAATATACCTTTTATAGTAACAACGTATGCCAAACTATAAAACTGATGGACTGAACTGTGACTTCTACAATTTTACAGCTGTCACTAAAACAGTGACAAGATTCAGAAAAAAATGTTTATATTTTGCAAACTATTTTTTGTTTGAATGTTTAGTACTCAACATATGGTTGGCTAATTGTAATTGATCCTTAAAGTAAATTTAAAAACAAACAAGTGTAGACTCAAACGGTCATTACCAAAACAATTTATTAAAAACTTGTGTATGTTCAAGTATATATTTCTGTACAAAACTTCACCAGTATAGGAGCTCCTAACAGCATTTCCTGCAATATCATTCCAGTGGTACAAAGTAATATCTGGAAAAGAAATAAGCTAGCTAACACTTATAGTGTTATTAAGCTAGTCTTGCCTAGTTCCATGGAGAAGGAAGAAGAAAAGAAAAGGCGTCTATACAGGTTATCAAGGCCTGAACCTGCAACCCCGCAGCTTTGATTAGAAGATTGTAGAGTAAACAGTATAAACGGTATTTTATTTTACTGTGACACCATTTAGTAGCAAATTAAAGGGTAAAGAGATGTGCAAGGGCGAAAGCATTTGCCAATTTTTTCTTTTAGCAGTTTGTTATCTGCAAATCAGTCAATGACTACAACCCGTCCCCAAACAACTCTGTTCTATTATTCCAGCTGCCTAGATGAAGGTCACTGACACTATTATTAGCACCTCTGTCAGTGTACAATCAATTTACAGAAAAGGAAGAGAGTCATGCAATACCAACATGGTGAATACTCTTTTTTTCCCCAGAGTGGCTTTCTCTTGTCATAGGTCTCTGCTCACTCTGCCTAACATAAGTAAACTAACCCAAAATCAGAAACCACCAACCCACCTGAAGCCAAACATTAGGTTTTGCATCTGGAAAGCAACTCCATGTTCCATTTACTCCAAACAGCATCATACTATATCTGCCTCTTCCAAATCATTACGTGAGTTGTTCTAAGGACAGAAACTAGAAAACAGCCAGAACTGGATAAATAAGACATGGAACTACAGTACTCTCCTACCTAAATGTTAAGCATAGGACTTATGAAATGCACTGTAATATGCAAGAGGCACCGGGATATTTTATTATATTGGGTGGAAGCATGCCAATTCCAGAAATCTGACTTGAAGCAGACATAGTCAAAATGCTAATGATGACAGGATGACGTGTAAGAAGCCACAGATGTGCTCATGTGGGAGAAAAAAGTAGGTAAACAATAGGAAGCTGATTGGTAGGCCAAGACAGTTGGGCTCCAGGAGGTCAAGGGAGACCCACTGAGGATGAACAAAGAAAATAAGGTGTTGTGTATTGGAAATGACAAGGTAAGGCTGTGTGGAAGTCTGGGCTACTTCTGACAATTTCCTAGAAATCAGAAGAAGCTGATCCAACAAGAAATCTAGCAGTATAAAAGAGAGGCAGGAAAGATGGAGTCTTTGCTAATGTGTGCTGATCTGTTGGATCCAGCCAGTGTGGGCAGCTAGAGTGTCCTTCGCCAGTTGAAACGAAAGCATTCTGATCCAGTGCGTGTGTGGGTATGGTCATTAATATTGTAAAACTGCTATTTAATGTATAGTTTATATTTTGTTAGAAAAGATGAGAACAGGGAGGGCAACCTTTTACAGGCCATAGGCTGGAACAGCCACGCTCTGGTCCAATGCAGCGTGGATGGCTTTGGTGGAGTGTCAGCAGCAGGGAGGGCCTTTCCTTGCATCCTCAACCAAGCCATACAGCTGGAAATTGTGCCTGCACCACTGCCACTTCTCTTAGCCTCCTTTTCTTCAGCTGCAGCTGTGGCACAGCCTGCAGCCAGTGGGGAGCTACCAAGACCACCTGGCTGCAAACTGTAGCCACGCTGCTGCTGCTTCTCCTCTCTATCTCTCCCTGCCATGCTGCAGTGTGGAAATAGCTGGAAGCTTCCCAACCCCAGTGGCTGGAAGCTGCATCCATGCTGCTGCTGGGGAGTGGGAGGCTGAGGAAGTGGTGGAAGCATAGGTGCAGCTCCCAGTTGCCCAGCTCTGGCATGGATGTAGATCAGTGGTCACCAACCAATGGATCTCGATCTACCAGTAGATTTCGGAGCCTCTTGTGGTAGATCTTGGAGCCTCTTGGACTCAATTCGAGGCTGGGGTGGAGGGCTGAGTGCCCATGGACAGCAGGTCAGTCCATGGGGGAGGAAGAGGCAGGGGCTAGATTGAAGTCCCGGCAGTGAAGGACAGTGCCACAGAGGCAGGAGCAGGGTTGAGTGGGGCCCCAGTCAGGTGGGATTTACCTGATGGGGAGGCTTACACTTTCATTTGTTGGTAATAAGATGTGTTTAGGGCCTAGTCTGCACTACAAAGTTTTGCAAGCAAAATCCAGTTCCTGCAGCAAAACTCAGTGCATTCAAGCTCAAAAGTTCCTCTGGGGCCAAGGTAACTTCTCTTCCTGGTGGGCTGCCAGAAAAGGCATACAGATGAGTGATTCTTAAGCAGGGGGCCTGGGCGCAGTGCAATATTAGCACTGTTAAGTATACAAACACCAACATGAATCACAAGATAAACCCAGGGTTTCAAATAGGAATATTATTGACACTATAGATTCTCATCTGTTGTAGTCCTTTTGAGTTCAGTAGAAGAATTACTTTATATTTTTTCCATATTAAAAAGAAAAGTGAAAGCGAAGAGCTGAGGGGAGCTGATTTTCTGAGGGGAGCCTAGTATCTAAAGAGACTGAGAACCACTGATACTGTTGTACTTTCTGCTGCTGTTGTGGTCCCTTCAGCAAAAGACTTCTGGGGTGAAAAGGGGTAAGGCAGTATGAGCTTGTTATTCTGCAGTGGTTTTCTTTATCCTGATGGTTGTGTCAGCAAGGGATGACAAGGGAAAAACCCAGAGGGCTTTTTGAATCCTTAAATACTAGTTGGTGCCATG